ATATAAAAAGTTTTTCATGAATAATTTTTTGGTCCCACATGGCAGAGCGGATCAATGAGTTTTTGGTATAAATCGGACACGATGTGTTAAGTTTCTAACGCAAGGTGATAGTCAATAGTGCTTAGGGTCCGGCTAATCATCTCCCTCATTGGCGGAACGGGTGCCCATCCAATTGGATGGGTGCCCCGTTTTGATGGTACTTTGAAGACCAGTTTTTTATTTCTTCTATGGAAACTACTCTTTTTTTAAATGAATTGTATTGTAAAATAAAATGACAGCAATACACATTTCTTTTTATGCCACTTAAATATTCTCCCTTTACCAGATGTGAAATCATGTACTGTTTAATAAACAAGCAGGAGTTGCCAGTTTATTGAACAAAAACTATAACACTACCATAGAATTTGGAACTCAAAGCCATTAGGATTCTTGGAGGAATGGTCGTAAAATTAAGATTTGAGATAAATATGGGCCATACTTATCATGCGCGAAACACTTAACAAAGCACTCTTGTCTTCCCACATCGAATAAACTAGCTGGTGTTTGTTTCACTTCAAAAATGGTTGACATCCTGCATTGGTCAATGATGAAATGTCAAACATGAGACATTTGATAGGGTCATTGGCCTTTCAATCTCATAAAGATATCATAAAATGTATAACATAAATAAAGAATACCTATAAGGAGTGTTTTATCAGATATATATAGTTCCATGCGCATGTGACCAAATAGCCTCACTTTCACTAGTAAACTCTATTAACCGGTCGCCGGTATAATCATACTGCTGAACTAAAACCAACTAATACTAACATCTAATACTAATAATCTACTACTTGCCGTTATTCGCTCATCACAAATCAGCCCAATTAAGGTCATGAGGTCTGAAGCAGTGTGGTCATGAGGTATAGGACAGTAGTAGCATGGTCCTCCTCTGATCTCAATGATAGCAGTTGCCGTTCTCAAAGCTTTGGCATCACTTGTTGACGGTTGCCGTATGCTCCACTTATCAAAATATCCATATAGGTCTGCATTCCATTTAGATTCTAAGCAAACAGGGTTTTGTTGGTCATCACTGCATTCATACATGACTTTACTGGCCAAACAGCTCATAGATTTATCAGGACAGTTAGCGGTACTGAAACTCGAAAGCCTTTCCTTGCAAATTGGTGGGTTCTGTATGATTCTTTTGGAGTTCTTTTTCAGGTCATAGGATTGTATCTTTCGAAACAAATTAACAATGTAGTAACGGTAACTGAAAAGTAAATGTTTGAAATAAATTCCACATATCGATGTTATTATATTTATATGGCATGTTTCACATCGCTTTAACTGATGCTGTCGTCCTGTCATACAATACGTTGAACTTTACATGTGTTGAATATATATATCATAATACCATTTTTAGTCAACCTACAATAATTTGTTATGAAGCGATAATTACGAAAACCCGCGACTGAACAGTTTGATAATAATAGTACACAACGCAACGCAACGCAACGCAACGCAACGCAACGCAACGCAACGCAACGCAACGCAACGCAACACAAAAGTTTTTGACGGATTCAACTTCAACAAAATTCGTACAAAAGATGCACAAAAGATCAGAAGAATTAGATAAAAGGTTTCCAATCAAATCATTCCCCTCTTTGAACTATGTTGCACAGTACTATGATATATGCTCCCAGTTCTGTCTTGTAGATATACTGTCCTTAGATAAAGAACTCGTCAAAGGCAAGATATACTATGTACTTACATTGTTATTAGCGGTTTTCCAGGAGAAGTATCTTTTGAGATCACGCGACAATAGTCATTATTTAGACTACACAAATTCAATACTGTAGGAAAATGTGTTCCCTCAACAATGCAGGTACAGTCCTTAACGTTGGAACTTTGGATAGAAGACGAACAAATCAGAGCTGTCTCTCCTTTTGTAATTATACCATAAACCATTGATATATAAAAAAAGCTCTTCCATACTCGTATAAACATCACGTTAAAAACGCTGAACGGAAATTGAGGTGAGCAACACTGTCTTAATTTTCAATTCGATTCTTGGAAATGTCACGCAAGTGTTTGCTCTGCAAAACATCTATCACACAACGAACACATAATACTGCACAAAACCTATGGATACTCGAAAAGAGTATAACTGCTGTAATCATGAAGTCTCCTTGAAGTCTTCAATAGATCAATCACTTCAAAATCATGACTTTAGGTCCGCCCGGACTCGCTGCAGTGGCTTCTATGAAAAGCGGAAATGACTTTAACAAATAGTTTTGCTCAACCTCGCCTCAAAAACGTCATATGACCTCCTAGTGATGCACTGAAATTTTGTCGTTGCTGTTGCTTCATTGAAGCTTGACAAGCATTATCTGTATATTTGATGAAATGGCTTCAGAGAAACAGAAACGAAGAGGGACCGATACGCTTGGTGTAAAAGGATCGATTAACGGTATAAATCTTTTCAGTTCTAGTTTTCGACGACGAATCTAGACATACTGACTTAAGTGTAGAGCTCATTGTATACTTTGGTTAATTTGGCGAATACAGTATAAACTATGATTTTTAGGGTGACAGGGAATGACTAATTCCTTAGGAATACTATTCGCAAACCTCTAAACATTGAGATCTTTTACATTAGACATCACAACATTTTGGAACACGAGACGGATATGAGTGATACCCTAGCCCAAGAGGTTCAATTTTTTCACTCTTCGCTACTTGTTTTGGCGTGAAGCGTCGCTTATCCAGTCCGTAAGGGCGAGCAAAACAGCAGCAAAACAAAACAAGAAAAACTCGAACCTCCCGGATCAGGGTCGACGAGTGACGATTTAATTAATAAATTCTTTGATTGACATATCCACGCAAACGCAAGCTACAGTCGGCTAATATAGCGGTAAATTTAACAATGCGCTGTGCATTTATTATTTAGATTCAGATTTAGATTTAGATTCAGATCCTTTGAGCACTCTTTAATGGGATCAGCCACTTCCTCATACGATTAGATTCAGATTTATATTTTCTCAAAATATTACTAACATTTCAAAAGACAGCGTGTAACTGCATTCTGGTAGATTTTAGTAAAAGACGCCATCTTGGACCATCTTGAAATTACCAATCTATTGACAAAATTCCTCATCTAATAATCATGTAAATTCACGGCAAATATAGCAAAAAAAACCCTCCTTTTTTGATTGGGTGATGATTTGCTCTTATAATAGCCCACGGATCGATCCCGGCGTGCATTGCGGCTACGTTGTGTTTATTTGAGTTTGTAAATGTGATATTAATATAGGAAATTCCACCTTATTTAGCTCTCGATCCTCTCGAAGAGTTTGTGAAAACTACGCGTGCTATTTTTCATTTGTACTGGATAACAAAGCGAGCTCAGTTTATGATTTTGAGAACATTTCTTCTTGGGAGGTACAATTTTCTATGAGATAATGATTTTAAATTCCTTTATTTTTGTGCCACAGCATCGCCTGGTGAAGAAGTTAAAATCACTGAGAAAAACAAACAAAACAAAGCGAGAAGACAGGAATCTTACGCTGATGATATGAGAATTTTATCAGCTTTTTCATTCGTCCTTGGAGGAACTTTCTTTGGCATGTTTAACAGTTTCATGAACCACAATATTCCATCTTTGCCACCTTGTAAAGGCCAGAAACCTGCAAGCACCAGTCTAATAACTCTCTACGTGGTCTTGGCTACAATTGGTTTTATGTTTTTATTCAGCTCTGCCCTCATTTCTTACGAGCTGTTCCTTCTTTTCAGAGACAAAAAAATCACTGACCCAACTCAGCAGTGGAAATATTTAAAATTTTGTTATTTGTTTACTTTCTTTGCTATTGTTATATGCTTTGCTGCTCATTCTATCAGTCTCTACATTGTCCAGTGTAAAAAAGACACAATATTATTAGCCTACGTACCTACACTGGGCTCGATTTGTTTGATAGCTGTAATAGTTATTGGTGTGTTAAACTACAAATTTCACAAACGCAATACCTAATACCCACGCAAGATAGCCTGTGTACATTGAGGGGTGAGAAACGGATGTACACACAGGCTACGCAAGAAGAAAGTCCAGTAAATCGTCCATGGCAAGTGAACGAGTGGAAAGAGGGTACTACATACAAGATTGATTCATGAAGACTTATCTCTAATTTATCTTATAGTTTTGTAAAACAATTAGATCACTCGGACTCGAGCGTGCCTACGATTTGATAGTTCACTCAGCTGAGTAATAACGTACGACGTTATCTTTGCGTTATGGACAACTCGCAGTCCATTCGTGGTCTAATCGTTTAAAAATAGTTAATGAATGTCATCAATCTTGATTAAACCATCAGTCATCATCAGTTAATTTTGGAATCAATATATTAATAATAGCCGGGGATTTTAACACGATTTAACAGTATCTACAGCATCAATCCACTATTAGGGGGAATCTTGACATATTTTTAACTGGTACTTTTCCTCCGAGTGGATGTTGTCGATCCAGCCCGTATGGCTTACATGTAAATGTTTTTTATTTGAGAGACTGAGAATATTATTCATTTCAGAGTTTACTGAGTTGCGGTTTATATTAGACAAGAATGCAAACTAACCTGTCATAACATGATTGAGCAAACGAATATCCAGATTCATTATACGATTCACCAAATAAATAAAAAGCAGCAAAAATATTTTCCTTTCAAATAACATTTGATCGAAAATTCTGACAGACAGGTCAACACAAAATTTATAGATTTCAAAATTTCTGGATCCGCCCACAATTGAAATAAAGAAATCTTGCGGCAGGCGTCTCATGTTTGATTTGTGTTACTTAGTCCACGAGTTTACCAGATACAAGAATGCCCAAATGCGACATGCTATTTAGTTCCAAAATCAGAAGAATATTAACAAATGCTAAAATATATAATTAGGAAATTTAATATTTTATTTACAATTACAAATCTTACATAGAGTCATAACACTTGCACCGTGAAATATGATCAAAATAAACAGTAAATATTAGTGTCTATTTATTGACTAATAGTAGATATTACTGAACCAGAACACAGTTCATGAAAACAAAAGGCAATACACAGGAGACTTGACAACTGCCATCTTTATTTCATGTACAATCAAGACAAAAGACACATCTAGATCTAAAATAACCACACAATACACTAGGGAGCGCGTTTAACGAATCTTTATTTATTTGCGCTGCTGTAGAATCAAGACACAAGACAAATCTAAAGCTAAAATAACCACACAAGACTAAATGAAACGCGTTTGGAATCTTTATTCTCTGCGCCGCAGCAAAATTAAGATAGAAGACATTGTAAGGCTAAATTGAAAATACTGTAACAATA